GTTCATTTGGGCGGATATTTACAACATGGTCTGCTATAAACCCCAAATCCCATGAAACATATGTATGGGAGCTATATCTGAATCGAGTTTCAATAAATATGAATTACTTATTTCTGGACTGCATTTGATCGGATGAGCCGAAATATGTACCATTTGAACGAAAATTTGAAAAAATTACAATAAACAAGTAGAAAGCAGTTGAGTTCGACTGGGCCGAACTTTGAATATCCTCTGTACAAAATACTTTGTACATACTGCGGTTGAGGCGCTGGGAAAAACTAGCAATAAACAATCAATATTCAAAAATTACATATTTCCCAGCCGCCATAAAATACCACATGTGAACAATTCGGTGATCTTGTGCGCTGACGTATACAATAATGTGACAGATAATAAAGGTTATGACCCACACGCACAGATATCGATGCGCTCAGTAGATGCACAAGACCACTAGAATGAAATGACAAGCAGCCCTGCAATGTTCTCCATTCAATATTAGAATAGATAAGAACAATTGTGTGGCTGCAACTAGGTTAAGTTAGATTAGTTTCAGTAGTACGTAAATAAAAACAGAATTGAATCAACAGTTTAACCATTAGGTAGGTTTTCTCTTCTCATTCACCCTCCGTCATTTATAAATTAACGCTCTGTTATCCTATTACGAACTTAAAATACGAAGTTTCAAAAAAATATATGTATATTATTAAGGATGTGGTTAAAATTATCATGGTACTAAATATCTGGAGTTTCCGCTGTATGAAGCTATACCTAAAGATGGATCTGTTAAGTTAATTTTTTGCCATAGACGGAGGCATCCATTACGAATTACACATCACGTTTAAAATAATTCGTTTGAAAAGTTTGGCTAAAATTATCAAATTACCGAATATCTAGGGCTTTCGTCATAATGGACTATAGGGAATATATACAGTAATATTCTTCAACCACAATCCAAGGAGGGTATATTAACTTTGTCTCTCCGTTTGTAACATCCCTAAATATTCGTCCTAGACCCCATAAGGTATATATATTCATGATCAGCACAAAATTAACGATGTCGAGGCGATTTAACGATGTCCGTCCCTCTGTCTGTTGAAATCACATTATTTGAAGTAGAGTTTCAAATTTTGGCACAACAATTTTTAATGTGTCTAGGATTCGTATAGCCCCCATATAACGTTACCTCCCGATATTCGGTATTTTGATGATTTTCGCCACATTTTTCAAGGATTTGTCTAAAAAATGGTATTTATATTTCGCAATGGGTTCTAGATCTGGTGACGGAACATTGTCCATATAGGTCCACGTTTTCCTATATCGCACATACTACGGCACCCACCGGTATTCGGTATTTTGATAATCCTAGTCACATTTCAAATTCGGTATTTAAATCTCGCAAATATATAATAATCTTTTTAATATAAAATTGTCTATTTTTGATTGCCCTCATATAAAGGCTTCACCTACTTTATGGTTTTTATTATCCATTATCCAAAAGGTCTTACTGGTATTTGTAAATGGTGGCTTTTGTGAGTATTTTTCTTTCTTTGTAACAAACCAAAATCGACCATCAGTAGTAACACTTTACAGCATTAACTCAAACTCCTCTAGATTACTTCTCAAAGTTTCACACGAAATGATAATCTCAAAATTAAAAAAAAAACAGCTTTATGAAAGAATGTGCTTCTTTTCACTGTCCTTCATCAGCCATTTTTCCATAGAAAAATTAATAGAAAATTCCAACGAAAAGTAATTATTGGGGATGTCGAACTCGGAGAATCTTGATTAAAAAACAGGTTTACTGGATTTTTCGGAAAATACCAAATGGTTCAGGATTGTAGCATATTTTCAGAAAGAATTAAATAGATTATTTCAATTAAAACTAACCCCAATTACTGCTTCAATGAAACATGGGAAAATTCCAAAACCCAAAAAAAAAAATTCCCGCGTTTGCTATCCCTAGTAATGGTGGTAAGAATACAATTTTTTATGCAAAATAATGTCAAGGCAAATGGCTTAAGAAAATATCAATCTGCTAGGTCGATATCAATCGCCGTTTGTCTGATGAAAGTGACTGGTAGTTGCGTCAATTTCAGTAACCAATGGAAATGGCCATTGATATTCACGCGACACCATTACTTGCACAAAACCAAATTCTAATCGAAACGCATTTGTATGGAATTGTGGCGAAGCATGTTTATGAGAAATACATATTTTCCACTTAATTGAATTGTTCTGTTTTTAATTGATGACGTAAAAGAGAAATGTGAGATTCGATAACTGTCGGTGGGAGGAGACTAGGCATATTTACTTTTCCAAAGTCGTAGCCACTACTTATAAATTCTATTTTTAACAAATGCATGCAACATGATTGGTAGTAGAACCAGTAAGGAAAGACAGAAAGACTTTATGATACCCAACACCACTATGAATATTAACAAGAGTCCGGTTTCTATTTGGTTCATCTTAACCGATTTACACAAAATTGGTAACATCTTAAAGCTTATTGAAGTACCTATTTATTTTCAAGCGTATGATGGTGCTATTTTAACAGGCAAGGTGGTATTATTGTAGCGGTAATTTTTGGAAAAAAACTCCAAAAAGTAGAAAATGTGCTCTTCAAGGGGTAATTAGTTTTATGTACCAAATGATAATCCATACTCTTACCTTTGTAAAATATGTATGATATGTCTTGTATTGCCTAAGATATTATGTGTCTTTAGATTTGCTCTTCTGGAGAATGTTAAATACCGACTACGCGTTTCGTAGTTTTTCTAAAATTGTTTATTCTGTCGGAGGTAGCCGACCTTCTGCCGGTGCTTGAAATTTTCTCCTCTGGTAATGTCAAACGCCGACTACGCGAACCGTAGTTGTCCTAAACTTATACGTTTTGTTGGCAGCCGGTCTTCGTCCGGGCCTTCAGTTTTCTCTTCTGGCACATGTCCAACACCGGGCACGCTATCCATAGTTTTTCTGGTATATGGCCAACACTGAATTCGAAACAAAGAAACTAAACAAAAGCCCTGGATCAATTAAAAAAACTTGGCTTTAGTCAAAACTATTTCCATAGGAGACAAATTTAAAGCTAATATCTTGAGACCCACAAAAGATATCGATACATGTGGCGCCATTTTTGAACGACAAAAGTGTAGTGTAATGTGATGGATAAATCTTATTTCTCCATAATGGGACATTTTCGATTTTTTTCAAAATTTTCCGGTACAAAAAATACAACCTATTTATACCCTCCATCATACTATGGAGGGTATATCAACTTTGTCATTGCATTTGTTACTCCTCGAAATACTCATGTCAGACCCAACAAATTATATATATTCTTGATTAGCATAAAATTCTAAGTCGATTTAGCAATGTCCGTCTGTCTCTTGTAATCACATTATCTTTCGAAAGAATTGAGATATTGCACACATGCGTATTTTGTCAGTGGGCAAGATAAATTCGTCATGTCGGGCCACGTTTTCGTATAGCCTTAACTCTAGTTTAGTAGAAACTCTTCAATTTTCTTTTCTTTTTTTTTTTTCAATTAAATATTTTTCTGGACCCAGAAAAGATATTCGCACAAATTGTAGAATTTTGGAAAGGTAAGAGTGTCAGCTTTAATTTGGCATCAATTTTGTTGATGGTCCCTAATGGGCCCCTTTTCGATTTTTTGTGGCTTTTAAAAAAAATCCGGGTCCAAAAAATCGGTATTTTGAATATAACTTTTGAACCGCTTATAAATAACCCCATAAACTTTCCTATAGCGGGCTATTATTATTTGTCTTTATCGGGTAAGTGGATTGGGGCCAGCCCGGTTCTTGGACCCGAACTTTCTAAGAAAAACCCTAAGAAAACAATAGTTTCTCGGAATAAGGGTAAAAATACATACCTCTGGAAAAAATCAAAAAAATCGAAGAGTTTTTACTAAATTAGAGGCTCCAAATAACGGTAACCCTCAATATTCTGTATTTCATTGATTTTAGCGACATTACAGACCGGAATTTGAATTTCGCATTGAAAGATCTTAATTGGATACTTCCACCTATAACACAAAATTGTCTATGCTGGTCCACGTTCTCGTATACTCGGTCCATTTCGCTATAATGCAGGTCCTCGTCTTCGTATAGCCCCCATATAACGATTTTCATTTAAACCGTATTTTTCGACGAAATTTTTTAAAGTTTTTTAAGTTTGTTCCAAATGAAGGGTACAATCCGGGCCCGGCCTGGCCAAACTTAGGTGCTTTTTTACTTGAAAAAGCTAATATTTTCGGTAAATAATCACTATTTTAGAAGAACAAAAGTGTATATTATCGATAAATCTGTATCGATTTTTGCAAAATTTGACATACGCGATTCTAGGCGAAATTTGGCAAAAATTCATCCCATGTTACGCATTCGGCGAACTTGAAATCATCAAAATGCCGAACTTTAGGAAATACCGTTATATGGGCGCTATAAGAAAACATGGACCAAAATGGCCCTTTTACGAACTTTACCTGCCTACTGGCAAAATACACACGTGTGCTAGATTTTTATTGTGTGATTACAACATTTAAGATAGCGTGATTACAACCGACAGACGAACATCGCTAAATCGACTTAGAATTTTACGTTGATCCAGAATATACATTCATTGTAGGGTCTATCAAGTTATTTCAAGAAGTAGAACTATAGAATGGTGGAGGGTATAAAAGTTTCCCCGCCCCTGTTGATCCGAGATTGTCGGTAAGAGAGAGAGAGAGAAAGATAGAAGGTACAAATTACAAATGTTTAATATAAATCAGCAGCTTAATTCATGTGGTTTAAAAATTGTAATATGAACAATTGTATTTGTGAAAATAGCATATAGTTCTTCGAATACAGTTGTATGTGTACATATTATTTTACACATACTTTAAAATTGGTTTTGATATATAATAAGTATACCTTAACAAATAGATTAACTCTCAAATTGTATATAAGATTTTTAATAATATGCAAATATTTTCATATTTTCAGATACCTCTAAAGGACCACAAATGAAATGATTTTTTTCTCCCCACAATCTTGCAATAAAATACCCGTGTTATACCTATGAGAAAACTCCAGTTTAACTACAAAAATAAACAGCAAAAACAACAACAACAAAAACCCTAATCAAAATGTTTAAAACATCAAAAAATACAAAACTGTATGTATGTACAAAATTAAATTTAAGTAAGTAAATAAAATTAAGGAATACCAACAAAAACAACAACAACAACCAAAGAAACTATAGTGCTGTAAATATTTATAAATAACAATAATCAATAATTAGTCGTAAGTGTTTTTGGAAACCAAATAGATAAACTAGTTTGAAATAAGTTGGACAACAACAACAACAACAACAAATGCTACAAACTTAATTATACCATATTTAAAATGTGTTAATGCTCATGTTAATAATAGCAATAAGGCTAAACAAATACATACATACATATATTCATAGGAACTTACCTTACACATACAAACAAACAGACGATTAATCAAAATGTGAGTGTGTGTTAACGAAAACTGTTCATCTTTATTGTTAAATTGAGAAATACGACTAAACAAAAAAAAAAACTTTTGAAAATCTATAAAAAAAAACGTGTAACTCAAATGAGTAAATTTATTATTAATTGTTAAATTAGGTTAGTAAAATAATAATTAGGTAAATAATTAAAAACTTTCAACTTGATTGAAAGGCATATCTCTTATGATTTTCTTAAGTTAATGTGTAATTATTTTTTTTAAAGAACGTACGACTTTTATTTTTCAAGATATGTGAAAAAAATATTTGCATTACATACTTTCTTTGTATGGAACAAAACACTTTCCGATAGGGGCAGACCTTGATATTTTTGATCCCATTGAACCAGACTTGTATAGATCACCAACGAACTAGTTCGAATGAACTATTTCAACCTATTTCACTGAACTAGACTCAGTGATCGAACGATGACGAATCTAGCCCTCCACTCTCTGTGACAAATGGTGCCGCAGAAGTGTGAGTTTTATGATAAGAAAAAATGAAAAAAGACCGAAACTTTAATGCTCTGTTCCGGGACCTGCAAGAATCTACTATTTTTGCAATTTGTTTTTCGATACCGTAAAGGGAAAAACGTTTATAGTAGTAAAAATGTTCACATTCATGCAGTTCTGGAACAGACCCTAAATCTCTATACAATTATTTTTTTTTTATTTATCGACTACATTCACCAGAAAATTTTAAATATTTTTCTCCTATGTGGTGTACACACCTGCAAACGATTCTGTAGTGGGATTCTCTAAATCATTTTTTAAGTTACCGACAAATATATGTACAAATTAACAGGTAAGCAAAGGCATACGGTGCCGACCATGTGATACACTACAATATGTTTGAAGCCCACCATTACGCTTAACATTTTGACCAGGGACATTTGCCCAATATTTACGCATTCCCGCGTGCTGTTAGGTGTTGTGGCCCATTTAACAGCTAAATATATTCCAATGATCATCCAAAATGCTAGACTTCTTCCCTGTCCTTAACTCTCTTCCAATCAACTCAATTCCGTGTTGATTGGTTTAAATTGTGTGATCAGGAATTTTTTTCTGTTTTTGGTTCATGTGCGATAATTTCCAAAAGCAAGAAGCCACTATGTATCTCCAAATTTAGACTCACCTATATGATTTGAATGTCTACGATATTTGGCTACATTCGTCAACGAAATCAGCATAAACAAGTAAGCAATAGCTACAGTCGTGCGGGGCCGACCATGTGATACCCTACAACACTACAATATGTCAGAATCCCCCTTATGTCCAAATACACTTTGGAAGATTTGGCTTTTAAAATATTACCCTTAGCAGTTTGACCAGGGACACTTTCTCAATATTTATGCACTCCGTCGTGCTGTTAGTTGTTGTGGTCCATTTTACAGCTAAATATAATCCAATGGTCATCCAAAATGCAAGAATTCTTCCCTGTCCTTAATTCTCTTCACAGGCGTGTCGATTGGCTTCAATTGTATGATCGGAAAAACATTTCTGTTTTTGGTTAATTTGAACCCCTAAATATTTTGCAATCATCTCCAAAGATGGTCATCCAAAATCCTAGAACGCTTCCCAGTACTTAACTCTCTTCTCAGGCGTGTCGATTGGTTTAAATTGTGTGATCAGGATTTTTTTTTTGTTTTTGTTCATTTGAATCCCTAAATATTTTTCGATCCTCTCCAAAAGCAAGAGGCTCCTCGGTATCTCAAAATTTAGACTAATCTATATGATTTGCTCTACGATATTTGGCTATATTCACCAACGAAATCAGCATAAAAAGCCGGAAGTTCGCCATTTGTGTATTTTGGATATCACCTGTAAGTAATGTTGGTATTTTTCACACAAAAGTAGTGGTCAGTTCAACCCGCTATTCTAAACTCTAACTTTGTGCGAGATTTCGTGTCCTTTGGTTTCTATTTGTGACCTTTATTACGGCTGCAAAATCAGGAACATTTTTAGTTGTTGGTCCATTTCAACCCCTAAATATATTGCGAACAATAGGCCTAGCCCTTCTGAGCCTAACCCTACCCTTGTGAAAATATTCGTGAGGATCGGACGATAATTGAAATCTGTATATAACTCCAACCTGTGTTGTAAGGTGAAAAAAATACAAAATATTCACTTAGGACAGACTACATTGTCTCGATTTAAATAACGTCAGATTTTTTAAGGAAATTTTCTTATAAATCAATTTGAAAAAATCGCATGCCATTAAAAAATTTGAAAAAATAAAAAAATGACACAAAATACTACAAAATCTGTATTAACATCATTATTCGAATCTTTTTATGCGATTTTTTTTAGATTAGATTAGATTTAGATTTATATTTATATCAAGAGGGCATTCTGAATTGACAAAATTTGTCAAAATCGTTCCAGCCATTCTAGAGATATAAGCATTCTAGCGAACATCCCTTTCATTTGTATATACACATTGCATATATTTCGCTTTATATATCCGATATATTTACCATCGGCGTCTACGTAACGGTCAGAACTGACCTGTTCCTCTATTTGTGATTTCGCCGGGATTCAAAATATTCGCGGTTCAATGGAAAATTTGACTTTTATTTAACACAAATATTATGGTCTATTTCATCCACTAAATATTACCCGATGACCATCAAAATTGGAAAGCTTCTGCCCAGCCCTAAGCTCTAGCCCCATGCTAACTTCCGCGTCGATTGGTCCATAATCGCCACCTGTAGAGCAACAAAATCAGGAAATTTTTCGGTTTTTGGTCCATTTAAACCCCTAAATATTATGCGATCATCTCCAAAAGCAATAGGCTTCTATTCTGGCTCTAGCCCCATTCTAAATTTCGTGGGGCTCGGGCCATAATTGCGACCCGGAGAGTGATTTCAAATTTCATGGACAGATCGACTCAGCTAGGTAGGAAGATCCATACATACTTTCCTATGTGGGAAACCAATATTTCGAGGTGTTACATAATTTTTGGCCCAATCAAACTTATAATACCCGCAACAAATAGTGTTATATAGGGCCGATACGAAGACTTGGACCTGCATAGACAATTTTTTGTCACAGACAGTAGTTTCCATTACGAGCTCTAAATACGTAATTTGAAGATCGAATATCGGGAGGTACCGTTATATTGGGTCTATATGAAGACATGGACCTGCACAGACAATTTTCTGTCTTAGGCTGTAGTATCCATTTCAAACTTCAAATACCAAATTTGAAACAATTCCGGTGAATAATGTCGCTAAAATTATCACGATACCGAATATCGGGAGATACCGTTATATGGGGCTATAAGAAAACGTGGACCTACTGGCAAAGTAAACATGTCTGCAAAATTTTAGCCTTCTATCTCGATTCGTTCGAAAGATAGCGTGATTAGAACAGACAGACGGATATCGCTAAATCAACTTAGAATTTTACTCTGATCAAGAATATATATACTTTGCTGGGTCTGACATGAGTATTTCGAGTAGTTACAAACGGAATGACAAAGTTAATATACCCTCCATAGTATGTTGGAGGGTATAAAAATATTCTATGTCAAATTTTACCATATGTCACAAAAGAAAAGAAATCCCTGTTTTCATTGTATATCAAAAAGTTTGCATCAATGTTCTCCAAAAAAAAAAAAATATTTTCATATTTTTTGAGGAATATTTTTTCCGATTTTTTTTCGAGTTGACGCCCGAAAGTAACATAAAACTTCGTTCTGGGCGGAAAATACCAAAAGAAGAAATACTCTTCACAAAATTTCGGTATAAATCTCTGAATAAACCCTATATCAAGCTACAATGTTTTTTACGAAAATTGCATTCAAAATTAATGTTCTAAAAGTGAAAATTATTTCACCAATTTCATGTTTTTTATACCCTCCACCATTCTCTGGTCCACGTTTTCGTATAGCCCCCAAAAAACGGTACCTCCCGATATTCGGTATTTTCATGATTTTATCGACAATACTTACCGAAATTATTTCAAATTTCATATTGGAAGATCTTAATGGCTACTTTAACCTATGGCAAAAAATTTCTTATGCAGGTCCACGTCTTCGTATAGCCCTCATATAACGGAACCTCCTGATAGTCGGTATTTTGATGATTTCAGCAACATTATTCACCGAATTGTAACAAATTTCGTATTTAAAGTTCATAATGGGTACTACAGCCTATGACAAAAATCTTCGTATAGCCCCCATATAACGGAACCTCCTGATAGTCGATATTTTGATGATTCCAGCAACATTACTCACCGGAATCGTTTTAATTTTCATATTGGAAGATCTTAATGGGTAATACAACCTATGGAAAAAATTCGTATGCAGGTCTTTGTATAGTCCCCATATGACGGTACCTTCCGATAGTCGGTATTTTCATGATTTTGGCGATATTATTCACCGGAATTGTAACAAATTACGTATTTGAAGTTCGTAATGGGTACTTTAGCCTATGACAAAAAGCGCCACGTCTGCGTATAGTCCAAGTGGTAGTTTTCGGATTTTTTTGGAAATTTTTTAAGTTCCTTCCAAATGGTAAAGGGTATTAAAAGTTCGGCCCGGCCGAACTTAACTTCAATTTTTTTTAAAATTTATAGGAAATTGACCCTTTCAT